TGAAATTGGCATGTAAAAGGATGCTGAGCAGTATTGAGGGCCCAGTTGAGATGGGAGACCATAAATGTGCAGTTTTGTTAGTTTTCTCCATTAATACTCAGCATTCAGAGTAGAAAGTAGGATAGACTAACCCCAAATAGTGGAGGTAAAGGTGGGGGGCAGTGGAAGGGCAATGAGGAGGTGTACTGGGTGATGATGAGAAACCTTGATGTGACTATCATGAGGGTCAGACAAGGAAGAAAATAAAGTGAAGCCAAGTGAAAGAATTATAATCAGAAGCCTTTGGAAGGGTCCAGGAAGTTTTGATGAAGTTGAAGAGCAGGTGCAAGGGAAGCAGAGTGGGGGGAGTACTGAATGTCATCATCTGAGGGTAGGATTTCTGAACTCAAAATTTTAGAAATTGATGCATTTCAGGTGTATCCATGGGCCCGAAACCGAGGACAATGGAGGAGAAGAAGTCCAGGAATTATGAGGCTAGACCGTCATGTGGCACTCTTCATAGATACTGAGGTCTCCAGAAAATGGCAAGATTAATAATGGACAGTAAGAAAAAGCCAAGTGCTGAAAAGTTCAATGAAGGTGTAGACAGCAGAGACAAGAAAGAAATGTTGGAATGGTATAAGCTTCAATAAAGGATTGCTTAAACAAAAGTATAAGGGACATACTCTAGTGTGTTGGGAGTTTAAATGAAAAGAAGCCAGGACAGTTTCAACCATAACTTCAAACCCTTACATATGGAAGAGTAATAAGATTCTTGAAGCAAGGAGAGGTACAGGATAAGAATTAATCCATCTTCACTTGAGAGATCTGTTAGGAAATAGATCATCCTAGTAAGAGAAGTCCAGGTTTAGGTTAAGGCAACGAGGTGGACAAAATGTTCAGTGAAAAAGCTGAGAGTCCCTACCTTCTAGTACATTGCTGTCCAAAAAGAACTTTCTGCAGAGATCGAGATGGTCGATAACTGCACTTGCCAATAGCCACAAGCCACATATGGTTGTTGAGTACCTGAAATGTGGTCTGGTGAGGCTGATGGACTGAATTTGGAATTTTATTTAATTCCAAATAATTTAAGTTCAATTAGTCACATGTGGCTGGTGGCTGTTGTATTGGACAATGCAGTTTTAAAAGCTTTCTGATAGCTGTTAATAAATTTACATTGAACTATTAATAGGTATTGATAAAAATATATTGTCCTTCACAATGACTAAGATTAAAGAAGGAAATACCTGAATACAGAATTTCAAGTGCTGTGGAAAACCATGAAGGTTACTAGTTTGGGAGCCAAAAGGTCTTTCTAGTGCTTCTCAAATGAGACCATGTAAGTGGTCATCTATGAACATGGTTAACCCTAATTAATAAGATTAACTTTATGAAATGACAACCAGAAGTGCAAAGTTATAATAAGCAAGTGTCTTAGTAAACAGCAGGTGGCATGATTTTAACCACAGCTGAAAGGATAATAGATAGAATGAAGTGGTGATGTTGGGGACAGGGAGACAAAAACACAATGAATATTCCAGCTCATGTGCATCTTATTTGAAATCTGTTTCACTCTATCATTTGGGCATTAAAATGTCAGAAGTGACTGCCAAGGAGGTGTTGCATGTGAGCATGAGTATGAAATCTGCTAGTGACTGACGAAATAATGGAGCAGCTTAACTCCTTGGGTGGTTTCAATGTTATTTCTCTAAAATGGAGATTCCAGGCTGTTTTGCAGCAGTGTTCTCAGTATATGAGGAAGCCTAAAAGTGTTGTGAAGAAATGCAGTGATGGAGCAGTTGACTGATGGAATACTCATTAAGTTGGTTATTGGTGGTTTCTTTCTGAGATTCAACAGTATACAAGTTGTAGATAAAATAACATAGGTATTCTGTGACAGTGACAAATAATTATAATAAATATGGCTTTGTGCAAATATTTAAAAACTTTGAAATGCTCAATATCCATGTTTCACAGTAATCTATGGGTTAATTTATTATTATATTGATATATATTTGTATAATGCAATAATAAAATCTGTTATTAGCCCCAACTTATGGTCAAATTTTCCTAGTTTGTTCATGGTTCTCTAGGCCATCAGTGGAGAATATTTTACTATTTCTTCCACTAGACAACACTAAGCTTTACCAGATGCTCTACTAAAACACAAGTGTTATACATTCTCATTTTGTGAGGTTTCCCACTGCTATAAAAGTAAGGTGGTAAGAGGTTCTGTAAGGATTTTGCCAAATAGTCTGGAGCTTCAGGAGCCTTTGTAACTTGGGACTTAGTTTCCAATGGGCTCAGCAAGCAACCTTCTTCAGTCTTGGGCCTTGAATAATTTAATAGGAATAGCTGAGGATACTTAATATTGGTTACTCATAAACTCTCCTTCAAATTTTGCTTCAATTTTTGTGTTTCCCTTGGTGGAGAGAGATAACTTGTACTTGAAGGAATAAATAAATGGACCAGTCAAATAACTGAGGTTTGATGAAGGCTTTGGATTATTATTTAAATTCAGGTATTTATCAGTAATATTCCTATATAATTAAATTCTTTAGGTAGTGATAATCCTACAAATCTAACATAAGTTTAGAATTTATTTTCCAGAGGAGAAATCAGTTATCTGTAAACCACTGTGGATGAGATGCCCATGTTGCTTAAGCCCTGAATGGATTAGCCCAACATTCTGTCAGAGAGGTCAGGTCAGATTTTACTTCTATTGCTAAAGAAATAAACACATTTTTCCCAGGTAGCCTTAAAAGCACAAAGAAATAATTCTTATTCCATTGTCTTAATCTACAGGAATACCTTGAGAAATGGAAGGAAAAAAAATCCCATGGTGCTAATAAAATGGGAATAATATCTTCCTCTTCATAGGTTTCTATGAAGTAGGTTTACTATGTGAATTAATGTATATATGTAATGCTCCTGGCTCCACTCCTGGCCACCAGTATGTTCCCAAAAATGTCAGTTCTCACCTCTTTTTCCATGAATTCATACTGCACCAAAGCCTATCATGTTATTATCACCATCACCCACAACAGCTCAAGAAAGCATAGAAAGGGTTAATAACCCTCTCTAGATTACACAGATAGAAAAACACTGTCAGTGTTGGCTTTAGCACCCCAGATCCTACCTTGACATTGCAATCACAAGCCTTTTTCACCTTCTGAATATCAGGACTTACGTTGTTTGGGCTTACTGCCATAGATGACAAAAGCTAGTAGGAAAGAAATCGTGAAGATGAAACAAATGATTTCTTTCCTCCCCAGGAGGATCAGAAGTACATATTTAAGGAATGAAAAATACAATTATATGTACTATAACCCACCTCCCTAAATATATAGAAAAACTAATTTAATTCCCTCACCCATGTGTGTATGTGTGTGTGTGTGGGGGGGTGACAGATGACTGCCAAAGATTAAGGTACTATGGTACAAAGCAATTACACTCAAGAAATTACACTCTTCAGAAAGAACAATATTCAGTGCGACTTAAATACTGCAAAAAGAAATGCAATGATCATGGTAGACATAATTTTCTCCCCCCGTGGGGCATGTCAGTTGGCCTTTTTCATCTGTCTACAAATATGTAGTGAACTACAGTAACACCTTGTTTCTACCGTGTTCATATTTTGATGGTCAGACGGCTGATATGTAGATAAACTTCTTAATCAAAATTTGAACTCTGGAACCCAGATGTCCTTTTGCTGCACTGTGTGTGAGGTCACAAAACTGGGGAGCTCAGGCAATGTCACTCCCAACCCCAACCGTTTTAGCTCAATGCTATTTCCCCAGAAAGCGAGGTTCCCTGGGTTAGCCTGCCTAAAGGGTATATGTGGTGAGGGGCATGTGCGCTTAGCGGCTCAGCGATCAGAGGCTTCCTTGGATGGGACTGGTGATGGTAAATATTAATGAAGAAGCTGCGCGGTACAGAGATTCTCAGCCAAATTAGATAACCTCTAAGAGCTGAATGTCGCCCGGTGAATTTCAGTGGAGGAGCGCTGTCCCTTAAAAGGGTCTCGAACACAACACACAATGTTTGTCATCTTAGGTCGCACACTACCCAACAGGAAGCGAAAGGCAAAGGGCACGGCGCATAAAAAAAAAGACACAGGGAGACACGTTTTGCAATGACGAACTTTATGTGGCGTCAGGAACGGCAACCTGTTCTCGTGTTTTATCAGTTCCGAGGTACGTACGCTGTTAAGACTGCTTGTCAGGTTAAACTGAGTAAAGGAACCAGAATAAGAGACAGCCCTGGAGAATTGTCCGCAATCCTTTTCAAAAAATAAAACTGTCACCAAGTGACGTGGGTAAGCTAATAAAAAGGCTCTTTGTATGCCCTTATACTCTCCTCTTAAACTTACGTGACCATCAGCAACGCTGTTCAAATTCAGCCAACAGCTGTTAAACCGAGACACAGATCCGCAGTGTTTATCTCCCCAGTTACCGGTGTTCACTGAGACCCTCCGAAAATTACTGTCGGCTTTCAATGAGAACGTAACAGAGGATCTTTCACCCGTCTGCTCCCACTGTGCCAAGCCTCGAGCCCCCTGCCACTTGTCCGAAATCGTTTTTTAAAAAAAACATAGCTCGTACCCCAATTAACTTGCACCTTCCGCAGCTAGAACCTTTGCCCAGAGACACCCACGCTCAGTCTCCATCCAAACCCCTCACTTCTTGAGACCCCCACGCCCGCCTGGAATTCCCGGGCGACGGGTTCTCAAGACACCGCCACCGCCCAGAGCCTTCATCTCGAATCCCCGTTTCCCAACCTTCGATATTCCTGTGCCCCTCCAGGGGAACCTAAGCCGCTTTCTCCGCCCAGAGACCCCAGTCTCTCAGAGACCTGCACGTTCAGAGTCCCTCCCTCCTCTTCCTCCTCCCCCACCTCCCGGTCGGGCCAGTGCGGTCTTGCAAGCTGCAACCATCCGGGACCTGTCCCCGCTCCCCACCCCATCCCCCGCCTAAACCGTTAGGGTCTCGCTAGCAATGCCTCCCGGGGCTCCAACTTACCACAAGCGTCCGGGAGGAAGACAAGGCAGCAGTCGCCGCGGCGGCAGCTAAACGAGAAATGGACTCGGCTGCAATCGCCCAGCGGAGCCCGCGGCAGTCGTGCTGCGCTGCGCTGCGCTGCGCGCCGCAATCTCGCGCCTCGGCAGAGGGAGGGACGGAGGAAGCTCGGGGCGATTGCAAGCGCCGGCGAGTCGACCTCCTCTGGGCGACCGTGCGCCCCCGGACAGGTTTGGCTGGTCTCTCTCCACTATCTTACTCTAGCTTAGTAACTGACCACCTCCAGCATCTCTGCACTATTCGCGTCTTCTTTCTTCTTCGATGGCCCCTAACTAACTACACTACTCTAAACGGACGAAGGCCATCACGCGAGCACCACGAAGATCTCGACGATTCCGACGGACAATGGCGTACAAGAAGAGTGAAGAAAAGTTCATATGCAATCGCAGGTAAGGGGCAGGCAGGCCGATGGAGCAGCCAAGGCTGGTAAGCTGCTCCAAAGGCAAGATCGGAAATCTCGGTGCACCCGAGGAGGGAGCGTCCTCGGCGAGCTCCAGAGCACCTACCCCGCGCTGGCGAAGCTGCACTGCTCTCTTGGGCCAAACGCGGGATGAGGGGCGGAGCCATGAGCGGCCAATCCGCGCTCAGCGTTACGCAGCCCCCGGCCTGTTTGGACCAGTCTTTCAGTGCATCAGAAGCCTGCTGGCAGCGGGCGCGAGACCCCATGGTGGTTGTGATTAACTTGATTCACGAGGCCTGGAGACTGGGGGAAGCCGGGGTCAGTCTTGGGGGGGGGGGTTCTTAATGTATCTTTAAAGATCCAAAGAACACCCCGCTCCAAGCGCGCGCCCGCGCGCGCGCGTGCGCGCGCGCGCACACACACACACACACACACACACACAGACGAACATTTCAAATGCTTCTCAAATCTTGGAAGTTCCACCGAATTTTGAAACTCCTTCCGAGGATCAGGGATCCGACTCCTTCCTCTTTCCCCAACAAGAGCAACTGAAGCATTCACAGGGGAAAGCACGTTTAGTGCGCAAAAGGCCATGACCCTGTTATAAGGACGCTTCCCCACCCTTGTCCCCAGCCCCAAATGAAGAGAAGGGAGAATGAAAAGCCCTTGGCCTTCGTTCCCCAAGAGGGCACAATTTAGTTCACTTCGTGACCCTGCAGGTCCCCGCTATGTGCTTAGAAAGACATCCGGAGGGCAGCTCCTTCGGATTTTTGAGGCGGGGCTGCACCTATTTCTCTGGTACAGAGCCTGGGACCCACAGCCAGTTGGTTGTCCAGCTGCTCTGAGGGCTACCATGACATGGTCAAGGCAGCAGGGCACGGAGTGAACCACAAAGCTCCCATTTGGCAACTAACGGGAGGCCGAGCTGCAATCCGCCAAGCAGAGTCCTTTTCCACGGGCTCCCGGCGCTGGGTAGGTAGGTGCCTGTGGTGTCCCTGCTGCAGCGCAGAAAAGGGCGGTGGGGGCCACCTTGGCCAAGACGCTTCGGGGGCGCCTAGACTACCCTTAGTAGTGGGCATGCTCCCACCGAGAAGCGGGGCAGAGCAGATTTCTTTCAAGAGGGAATGTGAGTAGGGGGTCTCAGTTGCCCGCTGACGTTCCGCGGCACTGTACCCAGAGCCGCCGGTGGGAGCAGCGGGGACTGGCTCCCCGCTGGTCTGAGAAGGCTGGACCCAAGAAAGAGATCGAATCTGCGATCCGGCTACTTGGTACTGGACAGAAGAGAGGTGATCCTATGGAAGAAGCTACAGGGAGGCCGTGCAGGGGTTGAGAAGATCGAACCCCACAGAGCGCAGAAGCGAAGCGAAGGGCCGGCCGTTAGGAGACTGTTTGCCTCAGTAGCCCCAAAAGTTAGGGATGGAGAATTAGGTGGGAGCAATGATAAAAATCAGGTCCATTGCTTATTCTGGGTCACTTCTGTTTCTGCTTCGATTTCCCGATTTGTAAAAGGAACTTTTCGGTGTATTCCAGTAGGGGCTGTTGGGACTCCTCGGATTCCCTGCATCCCTACTGAATTCAGACACTCTGCAGGGTTCTGAAATTTAATTTGGCAGTGAACATACTGTCCACTCCCAAGTTCTGTTTCGCAGAGAAAACACCTATCTCAGTTTTCTTGAAGCATCTGTTGAATGCTATGGTATTATGCCGCACAGGTGGCGGTGACAGCGCTGCCAAGTCCACGGACTGCACAACGTTCGCATCTATAGAAATGCTTTGTTAGCGAATAGTAATTTATAAATACTGAAGGGAGAACCTATGTCTTCCCTTTAATAATTAAGCACTCATCTTTAAAGATTCCCAAGTGTCCTCTTTCTCTATCCTCGTGAACAAGGAATGCTTCATGCTGGCTTTTCGGGCGGGACATACTAATTTTGTCGGAGGCTGAGACACTGGTTTTACTTTCAAAGACGTAAATACAAATCTGTGATATAGTGGACTGTGCTGAGGCTAAAGCCAGAGACAGCATCCGCCGAAGCCCGGGACCTCTTCACTCTCATCAGTTCCCGGGGGAGCCGCCTTACAGCCTCTGACCCACAGTGACACCATTGATGAGGATGAGGGTGATCATGATGCTGCTAATGCTAATAGTAATAATAATTATTATAAATACCACTACTACATATCCCGCTCTTTAGGCTGTTCTCTCCTCTCCAAGAAAGGCAAAAGCGCCAGGAAGGACCCAAGTGATGGTCACTCGGGGATTAGGAAGGTTCCCGGTCCAGCAAAGAGAAAGTTAGCTAGCCCGGCGGCGGGCCGAATGCACCCGGGCTTCGGACCTCGGGGAGACGCAGTCAGGTGGATTCTCATTTGAGTGGCGCTCGCTGAGCGGCCGGGGGCGGTTAAGGCTGAGCTTGAGCCAGGCTCGGGGCGCTGGGTTCAGCCCGAGTCGCCGGCTCCGCTTTCCCGGCACTGACGGCTCACACTGCCTCTTAGGGTTTTTTAGGCGGCCGCCTGGCCCAGAGCTGGCGGATCCGACGGACTTCGGAGGTTTTGACAACACTAGCCCGGAGAGTATAGTGTAAAGGAGATATTTACTTCAAACTCTAAAACTCAAAACAAGTACATGCGGGTGCGGTCTGTCATCGCCAGAGAGGTTTTCTCGAACTCCTGCCTAAAGTGTCCTGGGGAATCAGCCAAGGGTTTTCACGGCTTTCTCTTCCCTTCCTTAGGTTTATGGAAGTTGTCCCTGGAAAGAGGAGTTATTTACTGTGAAATGTTGGTGTTGGAGGGAAATCCTCAGCGACCCCCGGAATAATTTCCAAAAACTCGCCCCGTTTTCTAAGGATATAGACCTTTTTCAATTTTTGCACCAGAGGGAGTTCCCCCACCTCAAATGCGTTCCTTTTCAAAGTACTGATTTAAAAATTCAGGAAGGAATTAAAGAAGATTGTTACTAAGTAGGAAAGAGTTTCTCATCATTTAAGACTTTGGGAACTTTATTATGAATAATAGTAACTGACAGGAAAAAGTTACTTCTCTACTCATTTCGCCCTCTTGACCAGAGCCCTATTTTAACAAACTTTTATAAAATTTAAAAATTCTTTAATTTTATACATTTTATAAATTCTTTTATAAAGTTTAAAAGATTATAAATTGTCATCGATTTACAAATGACTGACTGGGTCCTGGAAAAAATAGACCAAAGCAGATATTTTTTGCAGAGTAAAAAGAAGCTACACCAAAATTCTACTGGAAGATTTTATTCCCCCTTGTTTACCACAGGACATATATGCAAGTCATTTTGATAATCTTTCCACCCTTATTTTTTTCAGTTTTATAGCCAATACTGACATCTAGATGTTTTTTTGATAATTATACAATTGTATCAAATAATATTTTCAGCATTTCATATTTTTGCTTAACTGGAACAGTCCAGGATCATATCCATAATGTCCATCATTGAGGCATGGCATACTTAGAGATAAATTTTTATAGTATTTTATATGGTAAATTTCTGTATTACCGTTCCTCAAGCGTGGTCATTGAATGTGAAAAAAAATATCTGGGATACAGATGGCTCATTATACACGAAGTCTTTTCAAAGTTGTTAGGATTGTTTTTAATGAAAAAGCAGTTGAACTCTATGTGCCGAATAGGAAGGCAGGGGGCAGTCTCTGATCATGTCAGTCTTTTCCTGAATGCAACTTGTTTTAGGGAAGATCCTGTGTTAGTGAAAAACAATAGTCAACTTTCGTTCTCTGATACACTCACTGATGGGAGGAGAATGAAACTGAAAACTTTTTGGGAGGATATGCAAACTTCTGTCTACATATTTTTGCCACTTCTCAGAATAAAAAGACATATCAAGACTAAAAATCTGTGCTTTTATTTTTGAAACAAATGTTACTGAATTAATTTAATTGTATCTGACATTCTTCTAATTGTAGCTTCTAGTAATCAAATAAATAAATTTTAAAAACAACAATATACATGTAAGTTTGCTAGGAGAGGGGCACAGAATCTAGTAGCCTCACAGCAGAGGAGAAAAAGGTACAAGCTACTTGGGTATCAATTCTTGGGTATCAATGGAACACATGCATGCTATAATGAATGCATTTTACAGTATGGACATGCATTTCACTCTTCCAGCTGGAATGAGAAAGATGGCAATGGCAATTGGTATCTTTTGTTTGAATTAAACTAAGATTGAAAGGCCAGAGCAACAGTGATTTTTCTTTCATTCCTAGCTCAAGACTTCCAGGTCCCTGAACTAGCAGTCTTGCTACTCTATATCTTATTCTGACTCTTTCAGACTACTTTGATGTCTACTTCACATTCCTGTAGTAATTAGGGCTTTTGCCATGCACCAAAACATTTGCTTGTTTGGGAGTCCTCTCTAAAGTAATGGGCTTGGTTTTCCTGGTCTGTAAACCAGTCTTATTACATTATTTCAGACAAGGTATGCAATTGTGTATTGCTTCTTTTCTTTTCGTAAGAACTGTTACTCAACCAAATTATAAGTATCTCAAAGCAAGAATTCAGTCATATACTTTTCTTTATCTCTTTTGTTCTCAGCTATCCCAATACTGGGCACAAAGAACATAAACAACAATGATAACTACTAATAGTT